CCGGGGAGACTAGATATAGTGAATGCAGGGTCTGGGGAGAGCAGATATAGTGAATGCAGGGTCCGGGGAGAGCGGATATAGTGAATGCGGGGTCCGGGGAGAGCGGATATAGTGAATGCAGGGTCCGGGGAGACCAGATATAGTGAATGCAGGGTCCGGGGAGAGCGGATATAGTGAATGCAGGGTCCAGGGAGAGCGGATATAGTGAATGCAGGGTCTGGGGAGGCCGGATATACTGGATGCAGGGTCCGGGGAGGCCGGATATAGTGAATGCAGGGTCTGGGGAGAGCGGATATAGTGAATGCAGGGTCCGGGGAGAGCGGATATAGTGAATGCAGGGTCCCGGGAGAGCGGATATAGTGAATGCGGGGTCCGGGGAGAGCGGATATAGTGAATGCAGGGTCCGGGGGGAGCGAATATAGTGAATGCAGGGTCCGGGGAGAGTGGATATAGTGAATGCAGGGTCCGGGGAGACTAGATATAGTGAATGCAGGGTCCGGGGAGACTAGATCTAGTGAATGCAGGGTCTGGGGAGAGCGGATATAGTGAATGCAGGGTCCGGGGAGAGCGGATATAGTGAATGCAGGGTCCGGGGAGAGCGGATATAGTGAATGCAGGGTCCGGGGAGAGCGGATATAGGGAATGCAGGGTCCGGGGAGAGCGGATATAGTGAATGCAGGGTCCGGGGAGAGCGGATATAGGGAATGCAGGGTCCGGGGAGAGCGGATATAGGGAGTGCAGGGTCCGGGGTTTTATGTAATAAGAAAGAGTGATGCCCTGCCATTGGATTGTTTGTGGAGTTGTTGCCCATTGGTGGTGAGGGGTGCTGATCATTGCTAGGCTTATAACTGACTAGGGACACCCTTGGTCAAACTGAACAGCAACCATAGCCAAAACACACTGAACAGTCACTGTGTCTTAAAAGTGCGTGATCTAGAACATGAGAATGCTTTTCTTCCATTGGTGGTTAGTAGAAGGAAGTGAGCTGCATTGCATTGGTGATCAGTAGGAGGAGAATGCATTGGTGGTGAGAGGGAGGAAAAATGCCCCTTACATTGGTTGTAAGTGGGAGGAAGAATACATTCCTTACAGTAGATTTGCTCTTTTTTTGTTCATTTTTTTAAGTCCGTGGTGGTGCGAAAAAACTAAAACCCAATAAATGAACAAAAGGGGTGCAACACCACACTAGAAAGTGCACTTAGGGGTGTGTCCTACCCCCAAAGGGGTAGGACCTCTACCATTATCCTCCGAGGTGCAAGGCTCCTGACAGGGTCAAGGTTTCCAGTGTGGTCTGCCTAGCCAAAGGCTAGCCAGCCAAAGCTGACCATCCCGTACAAGGTTGAGGGGCTGTCCCAAAGAGAGGGGGGGGAGAGAGAGGGGGGAGAGAGAGAGAGAGGGAGAGAGAGAGAGAGGGGGGGGGAGAGAGTGGGAGAGGGTGAGGGAAGAGAGAGAGGGAGAGGGGAGAGAGAGAAGGAGGGAGAGGAAGAGAGGGGGGAGAGGGGGAGGGAGATTGGAGGGGAGAGAAGGAGGGAGAGGAAGAGAGGAGGGGGAGAGGGGGAGGGAGATTGGAGGGAGAAAAGAGAGAGGGGAGGGGGAGGGGGGTTGGGGGGAGAGAGGGAGAGAGAGGGAGAGAGGGAGGAAGAGAGGGGGAGGGAAAGAGAGAGAGGGGGAGGGAGAGGGGAGGGAGATTGGGGGGGGGGGGGGGAGAAAGGCAGAGGGGAGGGAAATAAAGGGGGGGGGGGGGGGGGGGGAAGGGGGAGGGGGAGAGGGAGAGAGGGGGGGATTGGGGGGGAGAGAGGGAGAAAGGGGAGAGAGAGGGGGGGAAGGGGGGAGGGAAAGGTGGGAGAGAGAGAGGGAAAGGGGGATAGAGAGAGGGAAAGGAGAGAGAGGGGGGAGAGGGAAAGGGGAGAGAGGGGGGGGGAAGGGGAGAGAGATGGGGGGAGGGAGAGGGAGTTAGAGAGAGAGACGGGGGAGGGAGATTGTGGGGGGGAAGAGGGGGGCGAGGGGGGGATTAAGGGGGGGGGAGAGGCAGAGAGAGAGGGGGAGAGAGACAGAGAGAGAGCCTGGTAACAAAAATTGCCCCCGGAATTAGACAAAAGGTCTAGCTCTAAAAGGTGGAGTGCAGATAAAGTGTTTGGAGCTGTGACCATGTGCTGGTTCACACACTGGGATCCCACACCCAAGTGTCATTAAGAGCACCCCTAGGGTGACCACTCCCAGGGGGCAAGGACACCGCAGACTTTCTGTTTCCCTGGCCCCTGGCCAGACAAGTAGACCCATTCAAACCAGGAGGAACTAGGCCCATCCAGTTTTCCTGGGGGAATTACTCTTGGGCCCCAACAGCTTGTGGGTGCCTTGGTTTCTGTTCCAGCTGGTACTAGATTTTAGAGCCTCCATCATATCAGCAGGGGTACTATACAGCCAACCAATCTCATCAAAAGGCAAGAATGGTGACGGAGCTCCCCTACTGGACATGATAAGAACAGATACTACACTTGATCTTAGCCAAAAGATTTGCTCATCCCTAATGTTAACTCGTTGTATTTGTGGATGCAGGTTGGATTGAAGACTTCTGTGACAGAAAGTCCATAATTGGCACATATTTCTATTTTGTGAGACTACTGTAACACTTTAGTCAACATGTTGCAGCAATTCAGGTCAAGAGGTGCTAGAGCTAAAACCTACATTTCTAACAGACTTGGGTTATTAACAGACAGAACCTCCTCAGATCTTCATGGATAACCAAGATTCTTTACGCTCTCACGGTCAGAGAGGGATAGCCCAAGAGCTAAGCTCACTGATGTGAAATATCAATTCCTGAGAGTCCAAAGAGCATAGACCTCTTTTACTTACAATACTGTATGACTAAATACTGTATATGGTAGCAGATGATTTCTCAAAACCTTGCCCTTGGTTAAAGACACTAAAGATTCACTGTTAAAAGGGGATATTAAAATATATCACGAGCTACAGGTTTATGTTGTAGGGATTACACCAAAAGGCCACTGGTTGGTGCTGTGTAACGTTTCCACTGATTATCTCTAGTGTACAGAGTCTTGATGGCAGCATTAGTTCTCTGTTCTTCTTGTTCCAATAGGAAGTGTGCACAGATGTATTTCCATGTTCCTGCATTCTGTTTGAGTAAAGGTTCTTTCCCACAAAAGGGGCAAACTTTGCATCCGGTTTGAGGTAAAAAAACACTGATAACCAAGTAAGGGGGCCTTCTCCACTGATCACCAATGTAAGGGGGGCCTTCTCCACTGATCACCAATGTAAGGGGGGCCTTCTCCACTGATCACCAATGTAAGGGGGGCCTTCTCCATTGATCACCAATGTAAGGGGGGCCTTCTCTACTGATCACCAATGTAAGGGGGGCCTTCTCCACTGATCACCAATGCAAGGGGGGGGGGGGTGTTCTCCACTGATCACCAATGTAAGGGGGGCCTTCTCCACTGATCACCAATGTAAGGGGGGCCTTCTCCACTGATCACCAATGCAAGGGGGGGTGTTCTCCACTGATCACCAATGTAAGGCTGGGCCTTCTATGGTGATCACCAATGTAAGGGGGGCCTTCTCCACTGATCACCAATGTAAGTGGGGCCTTCTCCACTGATCACCAATGCAAGGGGGGCCTTCTCCACTGATCACCAATGTAAGGGGGGCCTTCAATACTGATCACCAATGTAAGGGGGTGGCCTTCTCCACTGATCACCAATGTTAGGCGGGCCTTCTCTACTGATCACCAATGTAAGGGGGTGGCCTTCTCCACTGATCACTAATGTAAAGGGGGGCCTTCTCCACTGATCACCAATGTAAGGGGGGCCTTCTCTACTGATCACCAATGTAAGGGGGTGGCCTTCTCCACTGATCACCAATGTAAGGCGGGCCTTCTCCACTGATAACCAATGTAAGGGGGGGCCTTCTCCACTGATCACCAATATAAGGCGGGCCTTCTCCACTGATCACCAATGTAATGGGGGGCCTTCTCCACTGATCACCAATATAAAGTCCTTTTCTTACTATCCACCAATTTAAGGAAGATTGCTTCTTTGGTACCAGTTTAAGGGGACACTTCTCAACATTGTGCCCAACATTGTGAAGGGACCTTTCTTCATTGACCACCAATATAAAGGGGCCCTTCTCCACTGTTCACCAATGTAAGGGGTCTTTCTACACTAACCATCAATGTAAGGGAACCTTTCCCTCCCAAACCACCAGTGTAAGGGGTCCTTCTGCACTAACCACCAATGTAGAGGGGCACATCTACACAGACCAGCAATGTAATGGGGGTCTTTTCCAATTACTGTCAATGCAAAGGGACCCTGTTCCACTGACCACCAATATATGGGGAGGCCTTCTCTACTAGCCACCAATCTAAGGGGACCCTTCTCCCACTGACCATCATTATGAAGGAGTCCTTCTTCATTAAACCCCCATGTTAAGAGGACCTTTCTCTACTGACCACCAATGTAAGGGGGGGGACAGACCATCAATGTGTAGAGAACCTTTCTCCAACTAGCCACCCAGAAGCTTGTATTAGTGTGGAGTAGTTGTCCATATATTAACAATTATGTCATAGTATTAAATATTGTGATGGTCATTGTTATTGGTACTACAACTCTTGTTTGCTGTGGCCATGGAAGGGATGGAAGGCCTTCTTCTGATTTGAAATGCTGAAAAAGCAGTTCTACCAAATTTTGCAAGCAGTTCAAGTGGTCAGCCCATTTGTAAACTTTGAAAGATGCCCACCACAAACAGCCAACCAAACAAACAAACAAACAGCCAACCAACCAAAGGGTAGCTCTTATTCTATGTTGGAGAAGTCCTTTCCTTATAAACCTTGGGTCACCCCTTACCTCCTTGGGTACAGTATCTTAACTATGCCAATGCTTTGTCATGTTTGAGATTTCATTGTAACCATATTCAGCCTACTAAGTTAATTTCTTTTGTCTGTTGATTTTTTAGATTATGGAACTAATAAGGGCAACAACCAGACCTCCATTTCAGATGAGTCCTTGGCTTATCTCCGCAGTCCTTGGTTGACTAAATTTACACCTTCGGTTTATACAGTTGTGTTCCTACTATCACTGCCTTTGAATATAGCAGCAATTATGATATTCCTGTTCAAAATTCAAGAGAAGACATCAGCAGTGGTGTTCATGTTAAACTTGGCGTTTGCTGATGTCCTCTTTGTCATGTTGCTGCCTTTTAAAATCATTTACCGATTCTCAGGAAACAATTGGGTGATCGGAGAAGGAACGTGCCGCTTTGTCATTGTTGCTTTTTACTGCAACATGTACTGCTCCATCCTGCTCATGACGTGTATCAGCGTGGACCGGTTCCTGGCGGTGGTCTATCCCATCAGGTCTCTGTTATGGCGCAAAGTCAGCAGAGCCTGGAAAATTTGTCTTTTCATCTGGATGGTTTCCATTGTCTTTCCTGTGCCGCTTTTTATACGCAAACTAACTATTCACATTGACCAACTAAATATTACAACTTGCTTTGACATGCTGGGCCGTAAAGCTGTTGAGAACTTTTACTTTCATTATTTCACTACTCTTATTTCAATTTTCTTTTTGTTGCCTCTTATCATCACAACTTTCTGTTACGTTGCAATCATCCGAAGTCTGAGCTCTCCAAAAATTGAAAGCACCTTTAAAAAGTCCCGATCCGTGTTCCTTTGTGTCACAGTGCTTTTTGAATATATCATCTGTTTTGGCCCAAGCAACATTGTCCTTCTACTTAAATATATAAATTTTGATAAGCCATTTGGAGACACTATGTATTTTGCCTACGTCATCTCTGTTACCATGAGTAGCATTAGCTGTTGTCTTGACCCTGTTATCTATTATTTCGGGTCTTCAAAGTGTCAGAAGTACATATACAGCTTGGTGTGTTGTGGCAAAACCAAAGCTGACCATAAACAGACAGATAGCTCCTCAAGAACAACAGGTGGGGAGACATCTACTCCTACTCTGTAGAGCTGGGACTTCTTGCTGTATTTGTATCTAGGCAGGTTGCCTACTGTTAGTTAGCCAGTTTTGCTGCCCCAGCCAGGAGGGATAGAGTTAATGTTTTTGCTGCCATTCCCAGGTCTTTCTTTGAAGGCTTTTTGGGTCCAACCCACTGATCCTGTGGCTTATAAAAGGGACAGGGGTCCGGATCTGGGGCCTTTTTCAGGTCGGAAACCGTATCTTGGCGTGCAGAAGCCTCAACATGTAGGGGGACTGCTGGGACCTGCAGTCTCCCCTGAAGATACCAGTTAAGTCCACCATGGACTTTCCTTGTCATGGACTTTACCTGTGTAGGTATGCTGGGGCAGCTACAGCCTTAGTTGGGGTTAGGACTCTTTGCTGTTTGTTGTTATTTTGAAGTTGTTCAATAAAGTGTTGAAACTTTTCCATGCCTGGTCTGAACTTACTCAAAGGGGTGCGTGAAAGTATGAAAAAGGCACTACACATATTTTACAGCATGAGTCAGTAAAGCAAATTGGGATATGAAGACAACTCTGCAAGAGTCAACATGGTATGGAGTACAAGCAAGTGGTTACCAAACGTTACGGGAGTCTAGTGACTAGAATCAGCAGCCTGTCATGAAGCATGTACCTGTGACAGGAGAGGTGTCCTCTAGCTGCAAGGGGGGTTTCTGTTTGGACCCTCTCCCCGAGCAGTCCATCTCCCATAGCAACGGGAGCAGATCAACACCTTAGAGGCCCTTGGCCTAACCACTATGTACAGAAAAGGAAGTGTTAAAAAAGAGCACGCATGCCTCGTATCAGTTTGGTTGCCCTTCTCTGTACGTTCTCCAGTTCCCAAATGTTATTTTTGTGAATTGGTGCCCAAAACTGAACTGCATATTCCAGATGAGGTCTTACTAATGATTTGTACCGGGGGAATGATATCTGTCTCTCTGGAGTCTATACCTCTCCTAATACAAGAGAGGATTTTGCTCGCTTTAGAAGCCGCAGCTTGGCATTGCATGCCAACATTAAGCTTGTGATCTACCAGAACCCCAGATCCTTCTCCACCATTGACCCCCCCAGATCCTTCTCCACCATTGACCCATCCTTCCTTCTCCATCATTGATTCCCCCAGATCCTTCTCCACCATAGATTCCACCAGATCCTTCTCCACCATTGATTCCCCCAGATCCTTCTCCACCATTGATTCCCCCAGATCCTTCTCCATCATTGACCCCCCCCCAGATCCTTCTCCACCATTGACCCCCCCAGTTGTACCCCCCCTAGTATGTATGATGCATGCATATTCTTAGCCCCCAAGTGCAGAACCTTACATTTATCAACATTAAACCTCATTGGCCCCATAGTCCCCCAATTACACAGAGCATTGAGGTCGGCTTGTAAATTGGAGACATCCTGTAAGGACGTTATTCCCGGCACAGCTTGGTGTCATCTGCAAAGACTAAAATGGGATTTCTAATCCCAGACCCCATATTGTTTATATAGATATTAAAAGTTACAGTGAAGGTGTGTATTGACTTGGGAGTTAACTGGAGTCCAGTTGAGTTGTTCAAGTGTACATGGTGTACAGCCATTTTTAAGTTGGAGGTCCACCTAAGTTGCTGAGCAGGGGTGGACTGACCATTTGGAAACTCGGGCACTGCCCGAGGGCCCAGGGTCAGTAGGGGGCCCCATGAGATGCCCCTGGTACCCTTTTTCATAGGCTTTTTTGAGTTTGGGCAAGGACAAAGGGGCCCCATGACCCCCTATTGCCCGGGGACCCCATGAATTGTCAGTCCGCCCCTGTTGCTGAGTATAAACCCTTGCATATACCTAGTTTAGTGACTGGCCTCAGGTGAGACACAAAGATATAACAAATCCTCTTAAATAGGTTGTATCTGTTTACCTGCAGCTGTATGGCCCCTACATCCACTCAAAGTCCAGAATTTACACAGGATGGAGCTCTGGAAAGCAGGGGGTGGGGAGCTTAAGTTATATCAGTGAGAAGCTCTGAGAGCTGATTAGAGGGAAGGGACACACCCCCCTCCACACAGCACATAGGAACAGAGCTGAGGCTGTCAATCTGCTGGAGGTCCCTCCTCTGTCACCATTTTTCTCTTGGTGTCAGGAACACTTGTCAGAAAGTTTTGTGCTGATAGCAGAGGAAGGAAGCAGCAGATAGAAATGACACTTAATGCTCTGGACTGAGACAAGTACACACTATAGAGGGTAATGCTCTGTTCATATGTTCATATTTCATGTCTGAGGTTTACAACTACTTTAAGGTTAAGTTATTGCTGAAAGCGGCCTCCACCTTGTCCCGGGGCATTGATGAGCACGGCACAGTAAATGTGCAGGGTGAGTGACCCCATCCAAGGTGCCTAGCATAGCCCCAAAAGCAGGTAGACCTCTTGGCATCAGCCCACATCTTGGCGCCTAGTCATTGCATCTAGAGGTACCTTTCCCCCCAGCTCTCAAGTACAGTATATCTCACCCAACAGACAGAAATGAGAAAACCGCATCCTAAAGAATACCCTAAAAATGGCACGCTACTTCATTGATAAGTAAATTTAACATCCAATTATCGGCAAAAAAATTGGGACATTTCGGCACATTTCATTAATTCAGAAAAATGAAGTGGTGCCCCACCCATCAATTACACGGGGAAATGAAGGAGGTGAGTTTTTAAATGGCTACGGAAGCTCCGTTCCCGGAACTGTTCTGGTACCAAAGAAACAGTCCCTCATTGCCTGAGAACCTGACGTTGGATATTGAAGAACAGAGATGGATTTGACAAGACAATTATTTCTTTCTACACATATATGAAGTGCCCTCTGGAACAAATCTAGTGACAGATGTCATTGACATGCCTTTGTTTATTAACAAACCCATGTGATCATCTTGTCAACTTTTTTTTTTCAAGCTAATTTTTTTAGTCCACGCATTGCAATGTGAGGCGAATTTTGGTAAAAGTTTTTGGTAAAATTTCAATTGATCATTTCTCTATAAAATCAGCTTTCATCACATGAGCAATCTAAGTGCTGTATTAACTACTTGCCCTCTAGAAGTTCCCCCCCCCCCCCCCCCCCCCTTCCTGACCTGGCCATTTTTTTGCTATTCGGCACTGCGCTATTTCGTTTGATAATTGCGCGGTCATGCAATGCTAAACCCAAACAAAATGTATGTCCTTTATTTCACACAAATAGAGCTTTCTTTCGGTGGTATTTGATCACCTGTGCGTTTTTTACTTTTTGCGCTACAAACAAAAAAACTGAGAAGTTTGAATAAAAAAAAAAAAAAACAATATATTTTCTGCTATAAAAAATATCCAATAAAAAAAAATATAAAAGTCACATTTCTTCTTAAATTTAGATCAAAATGTATTCTGCTACAAATTTTTGGTACAAAAAATCCCAATAAGTGTATATTGATTAGTTTGCACAAAAGTTATAGCGTCTACAAACTATGGTACATATTATGGAATTTTTTTAACTTTTTAAATTTTTTTGTTATTATACTAGTAATGACGGTGATTAGCGACTTATAGCAGGACTGCTGTATTGCGGCAAACATTTTTACACTGACACTTTGTGGGAACCAGTGACACTAATACAGTGATCAGTGCTAAAAATATGCACTGACACTGTACTAATGACACTGGTTGGGAAGGGGTTAACATCTAGGGTAATCAAAGGGTTAAGTGTGTGCCTACCTATGTGCTTGGTGTACGGTGTACGCTAGGTGGTGCTTTTACTAAGGGAAGTGATGCATCGTGTTCTCAGCTCTGCAGAGAGAAACGATTCATGACTCCCTCTTGTCACAACAGAGCTATGGCACTGTACTAATGACACTGGTTGGGACGGGGTTAACATCTAGGGTAATCAAAGGGTTAAGTGTGTGCCTACCTATGTGCTTGGTTTATGTTAGGTGGTGCTTTTAATAGGGGAAGTGATGGATAGTGTTCTCAGCTCTGCAGAGAGAAACGATTCATGACTCCCTCTTGTCACAACAGAGCTATGGCACTGTACTAATGACACTGGTTGGGAAGGGGTTAACATCAAGGGTAATCAAAGGGTTAAGTGTGTGCCTACCTATGTGCTTGGTGTACACTAGGTGGTGCTTTTACTAAGGGAAGTGATGGATCGTGTTCTCAGCTCTGCAGAGAGAAACGATTCATGACTCCCTCTTGTCACAACAGAGCTATGGCACTGTACTAATGACACTGGTTGGGATGGGGTTAACATCTAGGGTAATCAAAGGGTTAAGTGTGTGCCTACCTACGTGCTTGGTGTACGCTAGGTGGTGCTTTTAATAGGGGAAGTGATGGATAGTGTTCTCAGCTTTGCAGAGAGACACGATTCATGACTCCCTCTTGTCACAACAGAGCTATGGCACTGTACTAATGACACTAGTTGGGAAGGGGTTAACATCAAGGGTAATCAAAGGGTTAAGTGTGTGCCTACCTAAGTGCTTGGTGTACGCTAGGTGGTGCTTTTAATAGGGGAAGTGATGGATCGTGTTCTCAGCTCTACAGAGAGACATGATCCATGACTCCCTTTCCTCCCTGACCAATGATCTGCAGGTGCATTTTGCACTTCCGCAACACGGGGGCGCACGTGCACCGCCAGAGGAAATCTGCTGCTGGGAACTCTCACAGCACAAAACGTTCTACAAGCCCCGGCGAGTAGTTGCTGTGCTGTGACAGTTCACAGCAGAAGATTTCCTCCGGCAGCGTGCACACGGCCCTGTGTGGCTGAAATGCAAAATCATGTATACATACACATGATTTTGCACAGGAATGCCGCCCTGTAGCGTACTTGGGAGACTAACCTGGTTAAGTAGTCATTTCAGATATTTCAGTAATGCTCTCCACAATCACGGGCATGCATGACGTCCTCCTATGAAGCGCCTCTCCTATTAGTAGTCCCCAACACCATATGCTGCACTCAACCTTGACCGTGCCACCAAACTGTGCGGCACATGTGGCACCAACACCACGGTTCCGCACATGTTGCACGCCTA